TTAAGTGTAATCCTTTCAACAAATAAGGTTAATTTCTAACTCTTAGTGTAAAATTCACATGCTTAAGTCATTCATAATAATTTAATCCAAAAATATAAAGACATTTATAAGAATATAATGAATGAATTATTATTATAATAAAATAATATAATATTAATAATTTGAGTCTTTAAGTAAATATTAAACTATTGATATCATCAATATTTCATCTTTGAGTAAAATATTAACATATCTAATGTTCACATAATATTTTATCATTTTAGAGGACTAATATAAAGATATCCAAAATATCAATATCTAATGTTCACATAATGTTCACATAACATATTAATATCATTTTACTAAGTTTGAGTATACAATCCAAAACTATAAGGATATCCAAAATAATATCATCCTACCCATCATATACTTATTTAAAGTAAGTTCTCTTTTGGGATTATCTAAATCTCTTGATTATGTATGTCATTGTGAATATTATTATCTTTAATATAAATTTTAAATTAATTTATTTATTAGTCCAAATCATTTTGATGATTACAAGACCAATATAATAATATAAAATATAATTTAAAATATTTATTATAATTAATATCTCATAAGTCTACCATCGTAAGTCATTTAGACAACTACTAGTTAAATAAAACTTAGTGATATAAGTTACAAATAATATTCATAATTTTTTTAATTTAATTTATATAAAAATAATTTAATAATAAAAAAATAATAATCATAAAAATAATTAAATATTAATCAGCATAAAAGAAAACTCATGATGACTGTAATCATGATAAACATAAATCATGTCTTTATAATAAAATAAATATTATTACATAATTTGAAGCATATACATGTGAATAACTACATAAATATCTGAAAATAATAATTAAAATTTAAGAATCATAGGTAATAAAATTTTATCAATATATCATATGAGAAAACTATAATAGAAATTTATAATTTATATATATATATATTCTAATCCTATCCGGAATCTTAAATTAGGACAATCAACCCTATTTAAATGAACAAGTTGGGAATTGGGCTAAATATCAATCTAATTAGGTCAATCAAAATTAAAGTTGACTAAAGTAAAAAAATTAATCAAAATTTATTTTTTGAATAAATTTGATCAAAATGAGATTGATTGAATTGAAATCTAATAAAAAACAATTGAGAATCATCCAAAATTGAGGTTCAATCAAAATTAAAATTTGACCAAATCAAGATAGTCAATACTTTAATTGAGTCAATAACCAGGTGTAATAGGTCAAAAGGAGGCATTGACTAAAGTCAAATTTTGATTAAAATTAAACTATTTAAAATTTAGTCAAAATAAAGTATTGATGAAGTCAAAATTTTGATCAAAATTAAATTAGTCAGAATTCCATCAAAATAAGGTATTGTCCAAAGTTAAAATTAAACAATTGTCACAAAGTCAGAATTGAAAGAATAAATTAAAAGAATAGCCTCAGTACAGTGTCAAAAGTAGGGATTTTGGTCAAAATTAAGGTTTCAATGTTTTGTGTCAAAATTGATTTTGACCAAGTTTGGTCAAAATCAAACGGTTGCCCGCATCACACAGCCCAATCGCTGCAGGATTGTGGCTTCTCCGTCGCGTATGGTCGACGGGTGACCTCTAGGCTTCACCGACGAGCAGCATCATCGCTCATACCGCCCCTAACACTACACATCGTCTCTCCTCACCGGTGGCCTCATCACAGCCGGCCAGCCGCTGTTGCCGCACGACCTTCATATCGTGGCGTCCTCTCAACGCGACCAGCGACTGCCCGGCATCCCCTCTGCCTGCCTTACCGACATTGATTTGCACCGCTGCCGACGCTAATCGGTGCAACCTAGCGAGCCCCCTTTTCAGCTCCCTCATGGCAGCTTCTCCTTCGTGAGGGTCGTCATCCACCACCATGCGAAGCGATCTGCGGCGACTTCCTCCGCTGCGCAGTCTATGCCTACGTCGTCGCCGCTCAACTACGGACGATTGTGCACTGTGACAGCGAAGTGGCTGCCACAGTGCACAATCGTCCGTCGCTGCACTGCGAAGCAGCAAACAACGCTACTGTGCGTCGCCGACCACTGCCGCATGCGGTTTTACCGAACACTCGACGCTCCAGTATGGTCTATAAATCTGTGCATATGTTATCTTGAATTTAAACTCAAGTATTTTATGTAAGTGATTTATATTCAACAAAATTGTATATCAAATCATCGTAAAATTCTATCAAATATTACGTTAAGTGGCCCAAATAGTAAAAGACATATAAATCCAAATCATCACGTGAAGTTATCACTTGAATGAGTCTTAAAATTATTAGGTGAAAGAGATTATAATACCCCAAGACTTCTAGATCGAAAGTGTATAAAAACTTCAATTAACTTACAAGAATATGACATTTTAAGTTAGTACCTCAAATTCAATAAATTATTGATCAATTATCCTATTGAGCCTAATTGTGATAAATAATAATAATAATAATAACAATAATAATAATAATAATAATAATAATAATAATATACTTAGTATTAGCCGAGACATGTAAATATTAACAAATAACATATCACACCATAAATTCACTTTTAGGTTGGTCTCACATGTATAATATTAAAATTTGATTGTGGATTACATTCGTGTCGATATCAAATTCTTAAGTGAATGAAAATTAAAAATCTTTATATTTCATTCTACTTTAGAAGTGGGTGAAAACTAGCTTATAATGACTTAATTTTTTTAGTTAACGATTCAGAATAAAAATAATAATAGACCAAGTATCCTATCAAATCATGTTATAATAAATAGTACGAGAACAAACACAACATCAAATATAAAGAGCAATCCGAATAGAAAATATTTTCTTGTGGATCGATTAGAGACACATTATGGTATAGACTATCATTAAACTAGGTTTAATGTGTATCATGTTATATTATGATTTGATTTTAAGCTATATTTAATTCTTAATGAGAATATAAAATCTTTTATTGGGAAAATAATACTCTCAAACTTAATCCTATATTCAAAGTAGATAAATGCTTAAATTTGATGATAAGAGTCTATGGATGCAATGTTATTAAGTTGATGAGTTAATTATTGTATCCATATGATAGTTACACGGTTTTGTTGGCAAATCCTTTAATTTTCATATCTTGTGTATATTATTTTCTTGAAATAAAAACAGAAGACTCATTGTCACTGATTGCTTCCCTTTCTTTTTTCCCTAGTCACGTAATAAGCTTCTTCCCTCAAGCATAATTAAAAAAACCTATATATATATATATAAAAGCTAGTGGAAAGATCAAGAAGGTCTGACGATTTAAAAGAATGGCTTCTACAAGATCGAGCATTAACATTAGTGCTCGGGATGTCATGCTTGAAAGTTAGGGGCAAGGAATTATATGCCTTGACCTTTAGCAGTTGAAGAGAAAGGACTATTAAGTGACTAAGAATACAAAATAAACATATCATCTTGATGACTATTATTTTAACTAAACATTTTATGCATGTTAATTCCTTGGGTGATTAACATGTTTCTAGGTACCCATCGTGCCAACCTCTGTTTATAATCTCATTATTTTATGTTTCGGCCTTCACCCATTAGGAATACAACCAAGTTTAGAAACAAAGGAACAAATAAGAAATTTCTTTGACTTTATTTTTATCCTTTTTATTGGTTTAAGAATCAGAAGGTATATTAAATTATTTTTTACTTTATTTTTGTCTTTTTCATTTTTTTTTGTAAAACTAGGAGCTGTTTTCCTTTCCCTCAATTTTTATTTTTCAACCTGAAGGCTAAAGTGGTATCATTTCAAGGGGGAAAAAAAGGGAACTTATAAGAAGTTCCTCTGACTTTATTTTTTTTCTCTTTATTTTCTTTATAAAAGTCAGAAGGTCTATTAAATTCATTTCAAACTTAAGAAGTGATGACATTTTAGGGAGATAATTATTTCTTATAAACTTTTGACCTTCCATTTGTCAAAGCATAATTGGTATTTTTTTAGCTAGAATACTTTAAATAAGAAAAAAGAAGGCACACATAAGAAATTCCTCTACTTCATTATCTTTTCTTTCTTTTATTTTTTTTATCAAATTCAGAAGATCAATTAAATTCACCTCCAACTTAAGAAGGGATGTGATCAACATATGACAATTTAGCAAGAAATTTTTTATCCATTTTATTTATATATTTAAAAATTCATCTGCCAGTTTATTTCCTTACATTTCTCCAATTCTATACTCTTAAGTGATAATTTCTAGCCACAAATTATTCATTTCAAATGTTACCTATAAAGGTTGGAAAAAAAAAAGGAATAAAAGAGAATCAGACTCATGGCTGGTCCAATTTAAATATTTGATCAAAGAGTTGGATCTCCTGATTTTTGCAAACCTAAAGAAATAACTCATGCAACAAGATTGAATGGGTTTTAAAATGCTTAGAAAATTACAATAATTTCCTCTCAGCCCTATTTGTAATAGTTACTAACCCAATAAAGATTTGTCCTTTAGACACTGGAAAATATCTAAAAGGATGTCAAGATCCTATCATTGTTATCATACATATTTTCATTCCAAAACATTGTCAAATTAATCGAGGTTTGGGTGGGTGCACATTAGGCTACATCATTGTAATGTTGGAAAGTCTTCTAAGTTTAGTGTTTATTGTTATTGTATAACAATAATCTCTCTCTCTCTC